TTCAACAAAACCTGCAGGGTAAAATTAATTTATTATAATTGTTAAATCTTATTGACTACCTACCAAATACTAATTATTTCTTTTTATTTAACACTAATTATTTCTTTACTTAATCGTTAAAGCAACAGAAATACTGGCGCACCATCTAATGCAAATACAGTGATTAATAGTTTATTCGCAACTAGCCTATTTAGTTTAATGGCCATCTTTGCTAATCTCTGCTAATTTCTGCTCATCTCTGCAAATCTGCTCATCTAGCATAATGTTTAGATTCTTTACTATGTAAATTCCTATTTAATTGTGATAATATAATTAGAGATTATTGTGGTATTAATAATTGGTTGAACTAAGAATTACAAATGCCTTTAACTAATCATACGTAGTTCTCAATTTCTACACTCAGAATCCATTCGATATAAATAATTTGCTCTTTAAACATTCGTAACTCTAAGGAACTGTATCATTATATCGAGATCCACTTGTAGTCAGAACATACAAAGAATAATTTAGCTCTATAAAGAAAGCGAATTTCCAGAACCTCTAAACCCGAATTTTATTATCTAACAATCAAAAGAGTAATGTAATGAGCAAGCTATTATATAAAAAACAATGATAAATTCTTACTAGCAAACAAAGTAGAACCACCAGGAGATCAAGTATTGGTGTTGATCATTTTCATGATCATCCATCCTTGAAGCACACAATGAACCATCAAGATAGTGATTGTCGGGAAATCCTTGCAAATCGGCATTGTTCCCGGACAGAAATGTATCTTGACGGATGGATACATTTTCATCCAGGGTTTTAAGGAAAGTCATGTTAATGTCATCCCATTTCATTGGGTCATGTACGTAGGTTGCATTTTCTAATAATCGAATACATAATAAATTGAATATATTTGAGAATCTGCTCCTAGTCTACCGAAGGTCTTCAGAAAGGCCTTTTACATACGAAAAACGTGATTTAAAATGATTATAGAGCAAAATAAGTAAATTTTCAATCAATATATTATAACCTGCAAACGTATCGTCGAC